GATATCGTGGACCACGGTTCCAATTTGTAGGTCTGCTCGCGTTTGCCAGATGCTAAGGCGGCCACCACGTGGCACGGTTTCGTGAGAGCCTGGATCCGACTGTTCGGCCCCCCCCGTTCATGATCACCGACGGAGGCGCCGAGTTTCAAGAACGGTTCGCCCGCGGGATCGAATAGTGGAGGGTGCTGCACAACGTGACGGACGCACACAGCCCATGGCAGATGGATAAAGGAGAGGCTGCAAGCGGAGTTGCACGAGCTCACAGCCCACAAGAATCGATTCTGGCATCGAAGGGGGTTCAGTCCGCTGCAACTCGTTTTCGGATCCAATCCCAGGCTCCCCCACGAGATTTTGTCGGACGACGGTTTAGGCCTGCCTGGGTGGCAGGATGTGCTCCGAAATCCCTCAGAGCAGGAAGCCGCAGGTGCCGAAACTGCGAAAGCCCAGCAGGTACAAGATCGAGCGCGGCAGCTCGCCATCGAAGATACCAATCGAGATCACATCCAGTAGGCCAGTAAGGCCCGGGGCCTTACTATCAAGTCCTTCTCTCCTAGCCAATGGGTGTTCGTGTGGAGAAAGATGGGCCGTACGACGGCCCGTTCGAACTCCTTGGGGGTCTGGCATCGTGGTCCTCCAAGAAAGAGAACGAGGCACAATCTGGGTGGCAATGCCCTCTCATCCCTGGAAATATTCGGCCGGCCAGGTGCGTCCCGCCAGCGCGGAGGAAGAATGCGGACTGCAATTGGCCCAAGATCCGCAGAGGACCGAGCTCTTGACTCGGTCTGGGCAAGGAAGGGCCTCAGCGTTGGATGTCCCCAAAGGGTGGGATCCTCCCGACGAGGCTTGGGATCGTCCGATCGCCGCCGCAGGCGACACTGCCCCTCGCGTGCCAGGCGTCCCCAGCGGTGCGCCGGAGGCTCCCGGCGCCAGAGGCAGCAGCAGCATCGAACCGTCCAAGCCAGTCTCGGGAGGATCACCTGGCACTGTCCCCCCCTTTCGTCGACTCCAGTTTGCGCCCTCCAGGGCCGCCTCGTCAGCGGGTTCAAATGCAGCCCAGCCGTCTACTCGCCTACCATCCATCGCCGAGAGCGAGCCAGGAGACGCGGACAGCAGCCAGCAACAAGTGTCAGATGTGTCTGAGCCCCCAAGCCTTGGAGCGACCGACCCCTCGCCCCCGGCTCCGGGGGGGTCCTCGTTGCACCGCCGGACGCGAAGGAGAAAAAAGACCCAGGACAGTCGAGTCCGAAGGCGAGGGCGAAGCTACCGCAAACCAGCGACGTGGCGATGTCCGTCCTTAGGTCGCGGGAATCCTCCCGCCCAGCGGCCGCGAGCCGCGAGCCCAATCGCGAGTCGGAATCCTCGGACTTGGAGAGAGAGAGAGAGAGAGAGAGAGAGAGCCAGGCTCTCCCCCCCCCTCCGGGTCTAGAGGACGTGGTTGCGATGCCCGTTGATCCTCCTCCCTCCCCCGATCCAAGAGTGTCCTCAGGAGTCTCGGAAGCGCCAGGGCTCGGAGAACGAATCGGGGCGGGACACGAGGACAGTCGCTCTGTGTCGGGAAGGGTGCAGGAGTGGGAGAACCGAGCCGAATCTAGGGAAAGGTCTCCCCGTCGCATCGACGAGAATTCCCTGGCGTCGTTTCTGGTGTGTGTGTGTGTGTGCGTCGAGGCCAAGAGAGGAGTTCAAGTGGAGCCGCTCAAAAAGGCTATCGATCCGGCTGGAGATTTCCCGAGCTGGGGACACGACACGTGGTGCACCCTCTCTGGTGGGTGCTCGGGACCCGGGAGCTTCGCGGCCAGCCGCGGCGGGAGAGTCACGCTGTCTCGCCTGACCCCAGCCGAGAGAGCCAGGTTTGAGATATCAGATGGAACCGAATGGGCCAACATGGCCAAGTCGGGTGCCGTGCGGGTTATTTCCCCGAAGGATGCGAAGATAATCCGAGAAATGCAGCCAGAGCGTATCAAATCCTTGAGGATGGTGAGGCGCTGGAAGCCTCAAGAAGGAACGTTCACTGAGCCCAAAGCCAAGTCCGGATGGTGTGTCCACAGACATCAAGATCCGGGCACGGGGTCCCTGGCGGTGATTGTCCCTACCCCTCAAACAATGATGTTTAGGCAGGTTCTCATGACTGAGGGCATGATCGGCGACATCGGCATTTTGCAGTCGAACCCGATGACCCGAGCGGTCATAGCCATCTACGTAGAGCCGTGCGAGCGAGTTCCTCTTGAGAAGGGAGCCCTCATCGAGCTTCTCATGAATGTGTATGGGCTAGATGACGCGCCAGTTGCCTGGAGAAAGACAGTGGTCCAGTATTTAAGCGACCACGGATACGTCCGCAGTTTACTAGAGCCGTGCTGGTGGTTGAAGTACGATTCCCGAGGAGCCCTTGCCAGCATGATACTGATCGAGATGGATGACTTCTTCATGGCTAACGCTACCCCCGAGGCGCGGCAGAAGACTCGGACCCTCCTCGAGAAACGATTCCGGTTCGGAAAATATCAAGACCTCCACGAGTCTCCCGTGGAGCACGCCAGAAGGAGAATCACTCACACGCCTCAGCGTATATTTGAGAAGTTGAAGACTATGACCCTGGCGAACAGTAGGCTGGCCAAGAAGGACACCCCCCTGGATTCCCAAGAGTTTACGCAATTGCGCTCGCTGATTTACAAGCTGAACTGGGTGGGCCGTGAATCCAGACCCGAGACTGCTGGAGTCGCCAGCATCCTCGCCAATAGGCTGAAGAACCCAACCGCGTGGGACGTTTCTTGTGCGAGCAAGCTTGTTCGCCACCTTCGGGCCACGGCCTCGAGGGGCCTCTCGATTTGGCGTCTGGACCCGGACCGCATGGCTTTCCTCACGTTCTCGGACGCGGGAGGGGTCGGGGCCGGTGCTTCTGGGGTGGACTCCAAAAGGCTCCCCGAAGATCCCACCCAAGGGGCTTGGATGGTGCTGGCGACCGACAGCGTTGTTCTGGATAACAGGTCCGTGCGTGCCTCCATCTTAGGATGGAGATCGTCCAAGTTGAGGAGGAACGTACATTCCACCCTGGCAGGAGAAACGTTGGCACTAGCTTCAGCAGTGGCGGAGGTGGAATACCTCCAAATTTTGTACCGCGACGCGGTGTTCCGCAAAGTTGACATCCAGGACTGCGTGCGGGCCTCCTCCCCCTTTACCACCATACTCAGACAAGACTGCAGTCGAGGTCACAAAGAAAGACAAGTACAAGCTGTAGATGCTAAGAGTATTTACGATACTATGGGTAAGGATGGGACGGCCAGTGCACGGGATAGGAGGACAGCCTTGAATCTAGATATAATGTTATGTGAGTCCCTGGAGCGCTCGAGAGGCTCAGTGAGATTGGTGCCCCATTCTCGCATACCCGTATATCACCTTACGAAAAAAGACATTACGCAAGTGAACGCCGCCCTCTTTCACAACATGGCCTCAGGAAAGCTGCTCCTGGTAGATGAGTCCGAGGAGCTACTAGAAGAAAAGAGAACCCAGCCCAGAAGAACAGGTCCCAGGCTACGTCGGCCAAGGTTCTGAAGAACAACGACCGGAAGATCTCCTGGGAGAAGTTCGTGGACGCGGGATTCGGGGCCGCCGTATCTCCACCCGAGCCCGACCCGTGTCTCTCTCTCTCTCTCTCCTCCCTCTTTTTCCTATCCTCGATGTGTCAGGCAGCAGGGCCGAGACCCGCGAGGAAGACGAGCATTCTACAATCGTCAATGTTGTATCCCCTTGTGATGTGTACAGATGCTCTCAGCTGCTAAACCTACCAGAAAGGTTGACCAGTGTGATTGTGTGACTGAAGTTGTATCGAGGTTTAGCGTTTGGACATATATATATATATGTATTATATATATATATATATATACATTCCCTGGAGCCCTGGGGGCATGGCATCGAGAGTTGAATCCTTACCGTTACGGCTGAAGTCCAAAAAGCATCAGCTGTCCATCCTGCTTCCAGAGAAACAAAATCATAATTATGCAATTTGCAGCACGAAACGAGAAAAAGTTAATTCTGGTGGGGGTAGATCCTAGTACTCTTTTAGAAAGGAGAAGACATCTGGTGTGCAATCTAACGGCGGCGACGGGACGCGACGGCGGCGACAGGGTGGCGACGATGGCGACATACGTAGCCGCCAGAGCGGCAGACAGGCCCAGACGACGGGCGGCGACGATACTGATGGCAAATAACGGCGGGGGGTCGATACCTGTTGGGCTGTGATAGTACGAGTTCGTATTTATGATGGACGATGGGGCAGAATCAGATGCAAATTGCAATACAAAAACTCGGGCGGCTAATCCAGGAGGGGTGGATCCTTAGTCTTGTTTGGGAAGGAGAATCAGCGTTGTGCTACCCATGCAGCGACAAGGCGGCGACGAGGCGGCGGCGGGGCGGCGACGGCGGCAGCATGGCCGCCAGACTGGCAGACAGGCCCAGACGACGGGCAGCGACGAGGCGGCGACGGGACGGCGACGGCAGCAACATAGCCGCCAGAGCGGCGGGCAGCGACGAGCTGGCGACGGGGCGGCGACGGCGTTCAACATAGCCGCCAGAGAGGCAGAAAGGCCCAGACGACGGGCGGCGACGAGGCGGTGACAGGGCGGCGACCGCGGCGACCTAGCAGCCACAGCGGCAGACAGGCCCAGACGACGGGCGGCGACGTGGCAGCGCCAGAGCGGCAGACAGGTCCACGTCCGTAGGGCGAAGTAAGAGCCCGCGAAGTAAGAGCCCCTACGTGCAAGCACTGTTCGGGGAATTCCGAATCACAAAGCAGATGAAAATTATTGCTGGAAGCGCGACACCCCCCCCCAGAAGGCCCCAAACTTGAGATGTTTGCCGCCTCTTGGCGACGGCGCCAAGACGGAAGGATGCCTTCAAGATGCTCCCAAGGCGGTCCCCGAAGCCTCGACAATGCCCCCAGGATCGCCCGATATGACTGTCGAGGCGCCTTCCAGGTTGCCCTCCCCGAGAGGGGGGGCGGAGGGCGAAGCCCTGTGGATAAAATTTGTTCAGCCTGTTCTTCGCAAACAGCAGGAGCTCCTTCGCGGCTGAATCGGACTGCACCAGCGCCTTGTAGTCCTCGTTCTCAGCCTTTCGGATGGCTGTTGCCTCGCTCACGGACGCGTCGAGTGCCTTGATGCTCTTCTCGGTCTCTGCAATCTCCTCCGCGAGTGCTGCTATGTTCTCCTCTGCGCTGGCAATAGCGGTCTCGGTGTCCGCCGCGACATGCTCGAGCTCCTTCTTCTTGTCCTCGGTGGAATCGAACGTCGACAGGCAGTACTCCTTCTTGTCGGCGTCGTCCAGCCCCTCTTTCTTCAAGGCACCCACCATCTCATCGATCATGGAGATGACCTTCTCGAAACCGATCTTCTTGCCACGCAGAGCCAGCACCAGGAAGCCCAGGCGGGCCTGCTTGGGGTTTGCCTGGCGGGCCCGCTGCAGGAGGGCGACGGCGCGCGACCGCAGGTCGGCACTGTGCACCTTCACCTGCAGCAGGCTGGCGCTGGGGGCGGGCAGCGTCTTCTTCCGCCATCCCCGGCTCTCCGGGGAAACCGCACGCAGAAGGCATCTGGGCGGCGAGAACAAGCTGGCACTTGCGCGAAGAGACGTGGCGACCTCACGCCGCGGCTCCCGCGGGCCGCCAGCGTGGCACACCGCGTGGAGAAGAAGGCCCTCACGCGCGGCCTCACGCGGGAAGCTTACGCGCGAATGTCGGCGCAGTCGACCACCACCACCATGCCTAGCCAGGGCCATTCTGGGCCTTGGCGTGGTGTATACGCCCTCCTGGCTGAGGCCAGGAGGGACTGCACACCATCCTAGGGCCCCAGCATGGCCCTAGCCAAGCACGGTGGTGGTGGTGGTGGTGCATAGATGCCCTCTGCGGAAATAAAGCGTGTTGGATGCGCCGGTGTTTCCTCTGCCCCCCCCCCCCCCCCGGTTGCAGCATACAGCACGCTGTTCAAAAGCCAGCAGTTTCAGATCAGATCCACGTCTTCAAGAGGGGCCCCGCCGAAGCCTGGGCAGAAGCCGGCGCAGGCCCCCTCATAGGCGGCCACCAGGTGGTTACCAGTGGTGCTACCATGCTCACTCACTCACTCACTCACTCACTCACTCACTCACTCACTCAGACAGACACAATGCCAGACATTCAAGTACAGCATATCGCATTCCCTCTTGACCTCGTTGTGCGAGAAAGGGCGAGCAGCGGCAGCGAACTTACACACATCTCATTCATAGAGCTGGCATTCAGAACAGAATAGCGTCCAAAATCATGACCTGCTGAACTGTTACATCGAAGCACGGCGACTACGTACCTAAGCTACATATTATTTGCTGGAACCATGGAACGGCCTGGTTTGATTATTTCCACGACATCGGACAGGACGGCGACTAGTCCGGCGGCTCGTTACAAGAGTGAGACGACCAAGCATCGACCGAGCTTATGGGATCGGCGGAACGGCGCAAGCCCTCGCGGCTGAAGAGTTCAAGGGCGTCGTCGTCGTTCAAGATTTTGATCGTCTCGGCCAGGGCAAGGAGCTCCTCGTTGCGAGTCTTCACGCGCGCCTCGTACTCGGCATCCTTCGTGGAGCATCCCGCCTTCAGGTCAGCGAGCATCTTCTTGTCCTCCAGGAGGTTGCCTGCGGCGTCCTCTAGATCTGCCTTCATCTGCACGATGGACACGCCGAGCTCCCCGACGAGGGCGAGCTTCTGCTCGATGGAGACAGTCAGTACACCAATCTCCTTGTTCTTCGCAGCGACCAGGGCTGCGTGCTCCTGGACGGCAGTTGCCTCCGCATCCTCTGCCGCCTTCAGCGACTTCGCGAAGTCGTCAAACATCTGCTTCAAGATTCCCGTGACCTCACCGCTTTGAGGGGCGTACGAAGCCCGGCCCGAAAGGAAGGACATGACCATCTCTTTGTCGTCGTCGCCGATGATCTCGGATTTCTCCACAATCTTGCGCAGTGCGGCGGCGGACGAGCGCCCCTGCAAAAAGCTGCCGGCCATGCCCTTCTCCAGAGACGCCACCGCCGACGAGATCTGCGAGAGGTACCCCTCCAGCGTGGCTTTGGTCTCGGCGAACGCCTTCGCGGCCTTCTCCCGGATCGCCTCCGCGGAGGCAATGGCCCCCTTGGCTTCCGCGCGCTCCTTCTGCGCGTCCTCCAGGGACTGCTTGGTCTGGACCAGCTTCTCTTCTCCCCCCTTGATGGCGGCCTCTAGCTCTGGAGCCGCGTTGCCTGCGGCGTCGACGCGCGACTCGAGCTCGCCCACGCCAGATTTGCAGTAGCATTTGAATTTGGAGTACAGCTCATCTTCTTTGCTCCCCTCGGCCTGCACCTTCTCCTGCATGTTCTGCAGGAGGGTTACAACCCTGCGGACGGGATTGGCAGCCGCCTGCACAGCAGAGCGCTGCTTCGAAGCGACGCACACCTGCAGGCAGAGCGCCACAATTGCTGCCGCGCGCGCGGGCATCGCCATCATTGACACTTCAATGAGTCTGATACGCGAGGATGCGGCTAGGTACGATGATCCAGTCACGCTGTTCGACCCAGAGAGGCCACAGAAGGGGGAATCAACATCGCAAAAAGGAAAGAGGAGTTGTAGGAGGCGAGGAAGCGAAGGGCACAAAGGAAGGGGCGTCTACGACCATCGTGGGGTCTTTTCGGAGGCCTCTGGGGCACCTTGGATGCCGTCTGGGTCTGCCCTAAAGGCGTCTCGAGGGCTCCCAGAACCATTTCTGCTTCAACGGAAAAATACAACACGCCGAAAACATTCAATGCTGTGGCCTCCCAAGGGCCTCCCGACGAATACCTCGGGACTGCCTGGGGGGGTGTCTAGGAACTATCGGACCCGCCAAATGGTGCAACATGACGCGATCCAAGACTCCTTCAGAAGACCCCTGGGAAGCTGCCTTGCGGGATGTCGTTGTCGAGTTGTTCGTGGATTCATGTTTCGTCGGGGTTCGGGCCTTGAAATTCGAGGAAATTCTTCGCCGATTCTGGGCCCCTGGGTCCGCTTTCGGGCCCCAGGGCATCGAAAACGGATCCGGGATGAAGAGCTACCCCGCGGGAGACTCCGTCGTCGTCGTCGCCGCCCTCCTCCTCCTACTCGTCCTTCCTCCTCCTCCTCCTCCTCCTCCTCATCCTCCTCCTCCTCCTTCTCGCCCTCCGCCGAGAGGAACGACTCCGCTGTGGCTAGAGCGAATCAAAAAACATTGACCGTTTCCCCCCCCGGTGGGCGGGCGGTGGCCAAAAAAGTCCCGTCGGCGTCCCGTCAATGTCCCGTCGGTGTACCGTTCGTGTCCCGTCAGTGGTCCGTCGGTGCCCCGACCCGCCGTTACCGACGACGTCCGAGGCAGGCGGTTATCAAATGATTGTCAAATTAATGGGTTCCTGGACGCAGCCCGGCGAGTACTACTCCCCCTCCCCCCGCGTCTTTCCTGTGCCAAGCGTGACACAAACCAAAATTCATGGGAGTCAGGGCTTGGTCACTTGCCCCGTGCCGCATTTACAGCATATTACTGGCATGCAAACAATACTGGACACAACCAAATTCTGCGCCGAACTGTGCATCAACTGGGGATTATGGTTATCTGGGCTTGGTCAACTGCCGCGTCCCGCGTCTACTCGGTTTTAACCCAGTTCTGCGCCCACTGGAAAAAGGATCTGGGGCTTATCAAACGTCTCGCCTTGGTCAATTGCCGCGCCCCGCGTCTACTGGCGATCACTGGAAAGCTGACATATTGAAATACAGGGGACGGACAAGAAACTGACATACATGATTCTCAGACATCCTGAGAGATCATGAGGGATCCTGAAAGATTCTGAAGGATTCCGCAGGACCCTCAAGGATCCTGAATGATTCAAAGAGATCCTCAATGATCCTGAAGGATCCAAAAAACCGTGAGGAATCCTGAGGAACCCAGCGAGGTCCTGAGGGATCCTGGGGATCCACGCGGGATTCTGAAGTATCCTGAAGGATATTGAATGATACTGAAGGGTTCTGACGGGTTCTGAAAGATTCAGCGCAGCCTGAGGCATCCTGGGGATCCTGACGAATTCCGATGGATTCTGAAAGGGGGCCAATGAATGTGGACGGATTCTGAAGCATTCTCACGGATTCTCAAGGAGCCTGCGGGATCCTGAGGGGCACTGAGGGTTCCTGAGGGATGCAGAGGGATCCTGAAGGATCGCGAGGGATGCCGAAGGACCCTGAGTGGCTCTCCGGAATCCCCCAGGATCCCTCAGACTCCGTCGGGATCTCTCAACATCTCTCCGGAGCTCTCAGAATCCCTTGGGATCCCTCAGGAGACCTCAGGAACTTTCAAATACCATTAGGATCCACAAGACCCGCCCAGGACCCCTTAGAATCCCTAAGGATTCCCCAGGACCCCTTCGGATCCTCAGGATCGCCCAGACTCCTTCAAGATTCTTCAGAATCCTTCAGGATCCTTCAAGGTTCCTTTGAATCCTCAAGATCCCGTCAGTCCCCGGGAATCTTCCTAGGATCCTTCTGGATCCCTCAAAATCCTTCAAGTAATCATTCAGCATCGGTAGGAATCTCTCAAAACCCCTCAAGATCCCTCAGGTTCCTTCGGTACCCTCCAGAATATCTCTGGATACCTCGGAATCCCTCAAGACCTGTCGAGATCCCTCAGGACCCCTCAGCAACTCTCGGGGATCACCGTTACCAGCCGGATCCTTCTGGATCCCATGTGAGCCTCGAGATCCCCTGGCGACACTTCAGAATCCTTCAGAATCAATCAGAATCGCTCCGGATCTGAAATTGCTAAATGCTGTACCCCGCGTTAAACTAGGGTTTGTCACAAATCGCACCCGCTTGTACTTGCTATCAGTTAAAAACTCTTACGCACACATCGTGGAAACAGAACTGACATTTTGCTATACCCATCCGCAAAAGCAATTTGTCATGCGGATACAGAACGCGGCCAGGTTGACGCGCCGAACGGAGAACAACCCGGGGTTCATGGAAATCTAGGTTTCGTCAATTGCCGCATCCAGCGTTCACTGGGGATTACTGGAATGCTGACATATTCAAAAACTTAAAAACAACGGGGAACTTCCATCACGAATTGCATAACATGTCACGGGATGCATGGAGGCAGCGAAATTCTCGCGCCGAACTGCAGGCAGTCCCTGGGTTTATACACGCCCCTGGGAATGCTGACTGATTTCACAATGCTGGAAGCGGAGCGGCACCAGGACCACGTCCATTTGCAACGGGAGTGTCACAGCAGTACTAGACTCAGCCGAGTTTGTGCTCCCGCCTGAAAGTAGCCCAGGGGTTATGGAACTCTGAGCGCAGTCAATTGCCGCATCGCGCTT